GTTTGCAGATGACATGATACTATACATAGAGTATCCTGAAGATGCTACCAGAAAACTCCTAGAGCTAATCAATTAATTTGATAAAGTAGCAGGATACAAAATTAATGCACAGAAATCTCATGCATTCCTATACACTAATGATGAAAAATCTGAAAGAGAAATTAGGGAAACACTCCCATTTACCATTGCAATAAAAAGAATAAAATACCTAGGAATAAACCTGCCAAATTGAGAAAAGACCTGTATGCAGAAAACTATAATGCACTGATGAAAGTAATTAAAGATGATACAAACAGATGGAGAGATATGCTATGTTCTCGGATTGGAAGAATCAACATTGTGAAAATGACTATAGTACCCAAAGCAATCCACAGATTCAATGCAGTCCCTATCAAACTACCACTGTTATTTTCCACAGAACTAGAACAAAAATTTCAATTTTTATGGAAACACAAAAGACCCTGAATAGCCAAAGCAATCTTGAGAAAGAAAAACGGAGCTGGAGGCACCAGGGTTCCTGACTTCAGAGTATACTACAAATCTCCAGTAATCAAGACAGTATGGTACTGGCACAAAAACAGAAATATAGATCAATGGATCAGGATAGAAAGCCCAGAAATAAGCCCATGCACATATGGTCACCTTATCTTTGATAAAGAAGGCAAGAATATACAGTGGAGAAAAGACAGCCTTTTCACTAAGTGGTGCTGGGAAAACTGAACAGCTACATGTAAAAGAATGAAATTAGAACACTCCCTAACACCATACACAAAAATAAACTCAAAATGCATTAAAGACCTAAATGTATGGCCAGACAGTATCAAACTCTTAGAGGAAAACATAGGCAGAACACTCTATGACATAAATCACAGCAAGATCCTTTTTGACCCACCTCCTAGAGAAATGGAAATAAAAACAAAAATAAACAAATGGGACCTAATGAAACTTAAAAGCTTTTGCACAGAAAAGGAAAACATAAATAAGACAAAAAGACAACCCTCAGAATGGGAGAAAATATTTGCAAATGAAGCAACTGACAAAGGATTAATCTCCAAAATTTACAAGCAGCTCATGCAGCTCAATATCTAAAAAGCAAACAACCCAATACAAAAATGGGCAGAAGACCTAAATAGACATTTCTCCAAAGAAGATATACAGATTGCCAACAATCACATGAAAGAATGCTCAACATCACTAATCATTAGAGAAATGCAAATCAAAACTACAACGAGGTATCACCTCACACCAGTCAGAATGGCCATCAACAAAAAATCTACAAACAATAAACACTGGAGAGGGTGTGGAGAAAAGGGAATCCTGTTGCACTGTTGGTGAGAATGTAAATTGATACAACCACTATGGAGAACAGTATGGAGGTTCCTTAAAAAACTAAAATTAGAACTACCATACTACCCAGCAATCCCACTACTGGGCATATACCCTGAGAAAACCATAATTTAAAAAGAGTCATGTACCACAATATTCATTGCAGCTTTATTTACAATAGCCAGGAGATGGAAGCAACCTAAGTGTCCATTGACAGATGAATGGATAAAGAATATGTGGCACATATATACAATGGAATATTACTCAGCCATAAAAGGGAATGATACTGAGTTATTTGTAGTGAGGTGGATGGTCCTAGAGTCTGTCATACAGAGTGAAGTAAGTCAGAAAGAGAAAAACAAATACCATATGCTAACACATATATATGGAGTCTAAAAAAAAAAAAAGTGGTTATGAAGAACCTAGGGGCAGGATGGAATTAAAGACACAGACCTACTGGAGAATGGACTTGAGGACACGGGGAGGGGGAAGGGTAAGCTGGACAAAGTGAGAGAGTGGCATGGACATATACACACTACCAAATGTAAAATCGATAGCTAGTGGGAAGGAGCCGCATAGCACAGGGAGATCAGCTCGGTGGTTTGTGACCACCTAGAGTGGTGGGATAGGGAGGGTTTGAGGGAGGGAGACGCAAGAGATTTGGGGATATATGTATATGTATAGCTGGTTCACTTTGTTATAAAGCAGAAACTAACACACCATTGTAAAGCAATTATACTCCAATAAAGATGTTAAAAAAAAATGTAGTGGCAAATTCAATCTGTTGGTAAGTTAGTTTGAGATACATGTAAAAAATTAGTTGATACAATCTTATCTATTATCTTGATACCAGACCTTTCCCATTTTCTCAATATATTTTTATTAAACTCTACTCTGTGTACAGTAATACGTTAGTTGATATAATCAACATAGTTTATAAGAATTAAATATTAGGTGATACTGAAAACAAGTTTCTGAACAATTGGTTAGGCTCAGGTGCCTAACTTTTTGGTTTTATAGTTGATTTGGTGTATTTATTGACATTAAAAATGAAGAACATGTTGATTATGTGTGACATCCTTTACTATTCTCAGGTAATTATTTCACATTATGAGTGAATAATACCTTGTGAGAGCACAGTATTAGTATCTTGGACAACACTACTTTGAGTGCTTTAAATTCAATATTTTATATAAGATATTGAGATAAATAACCTTGCTTAGTATTTCTTTGCTTATAATAACATAAGCCACTTGCACATTTTCTAATATTTCCTATATTCTCAGGTCAGGAGTTATGGATGAAATTTAATGAGTGTTTCTAACCACTTTTTAAAAGTGGTATCATATATTTTAATTACCCTCCTCCTATTCCATCAACCTTTGACCCTCTTCTCTTATTAACACAGATATATCTTTCTTTATGATCTCTCTCATCCATTAGAATGTACGCTCCAAGGAAGTAGAGATTTTATCTCTCATGTTCACTATTTTATCCCCAGGGTTTTTAGACTAGGCCATGGCAAGAGGGAAAATCTATCTAATGCTTAATTAAAACTTGCTGAGTGAATAAATAAATGATCGAATGCAAGCCCAGGTTTTATGTCCCTCATCGGTGCCTCTTCCAGGGACTGATTATATTTTGAGACCTCTTTTCCCAGTGACTTAGAAACTTTTTGATTAGGTTTGACAGGAATACCTCTTATATCCCTGTGTTTATGTGTGTTTGAAACAAAATAGTCATGAAATAATCTGATAATTAAATTCTTAAGCTACTGTATTTCATTCTATTGATATTTATTTAAAAACTAATGTTGCAGCAGAGGATTTTTAGAGCAGTAAAAATACTCTGTATACCACAATGATGAATATGGTATGAATATTGGCAAATATGCAATATTTAATGGCAAATACACCATTTTATATTTGTCAAAACCCACAGAATGTGCAACACCAAGAGTGAGCTAATGTAACCTTTATGTGTACTATATGTAACCAAGAGTGTACCATAAATGCAGGTTCATCAATTGTAACAAATGTACCACTCTGGTGGGGGATTTGATAATGGGGAAGATGATTCATATGTGGGGGCAGAGGGCACATGGGAAATCTCTGGACCTTCCTCTCAATTTTGCAGTGAACCTAAAACTGCTCTAAAAAAAAAAGTCAATTAAAAAAAATAATGCTGGTCTTGTTATTTCACAATGCACAAACACGCAGTTTGTAACACTGTTTTAGACAAAAATGCCAAGAGGTAACCCGCATTAATTTTTGAGTATGTAGAAAGAACACATGTATTAGTCAGCCTTGGATGGTGTAATCTCAAGTCTAAATTTTCCTGAATTTCCCAGGCTTCTCAGGGCTTCCAGCTCTCTCTATATATCATATATAGAGATATTCTCATACCCCAGACTTTCAGGAGCTGAAAGGCCTGAAAGAGACTGGAAAATGTCTCTTCCTTGAGCAGCTGAGAAATTATGTAAATCTGGAGGTGGATTCAGGTACAAACAAAGCAAAATACTAAAGTTATTTCATATAATTCTCACCACAACCATACAAACTAAAGAATGACTACTCACCTTTCTTAAGTAAAGAAACTGAGGCTCAAAAGATCAAATGACTTAAGGTGACAAAGCTAGTGAGCAGCAGAGTCTTGATTTGCTCCTGTTCCATATATAGTCCCCTACCCCTGGGAGATAGAGGCATGATCTAGAAGTTCTTGGAATCCAGAGGCAGTTCCTCTGGACCTCCAAGCTTCCAGGTACTCAGAGTAGGGAGGCCCAAAGTCCTGGATGTTCCCTGCCTGTTTTTGTGGACCATGGATACAACACAATTCCCCCTCAACTTCTTCACCTTTCCTGTCTGTCCTGGCTCAACCCTACCCAACTTCTAGACCCTTCTACTTTTCAGGGGGTGGGGGTGGGACATATACCAACACCCTTGAGGATTTACTGTACACTTGGTCACACGCGCCCCTCATACCTAGGGCCCTGTGAGATAGGAAGGACAGGTTGTGTTTCTCCTTGAGAAATTAACCTTGACTTGGCCAAGGTCACACCTACTGGAGCTCAAAGGAAGCTCAAAAACAAGCTCATTTACTATTGAACTCTTCCACTTTTTCACTTAGTAAAATCTTGCCTGGGTAGAATCTGATCTTGATTATTGTAAACGACAAACTTCCAACTCCAGCCCTCCTCCCCAAACCCCACCATCACCCAAGCAGGAGCCATGTCTTACGGATGGAGGAGCCCATCACCTCTGGAGAATTTTGGGGATTCTATCCTCTCCCACTTCCTCCCGGCCACCCAGTTCCTTGTTCCCCGCTGTCCCTCTGGTCTAACGTCTAGGGTTAAGCCCAGAGTTGTGGGAAGAGTTGCGTCCCACGGTCACACTGGGCGCGCTCAGTGGCAGAGCGGGCTTCGGCCGGACGCAGGCAGCCTTGTGCGCGCGCCGCTGCTGGGAGCCCGAGTGCGCGCAGCTCAGGGGCCGCCGCCGCCGCTGGGGCCAAGGACGCGGCTTCTCTGCTCGCCCGCCCGGGACGCCGCGCCACCCGCCCCCTGCAGCCTGTGTTGCAGCTGCCGGCCACCGGAGGGGGCGAACAAACGTCAACCTGTTGTTTGTCCCGTCACCATCTATCAACTCTCAGCACCACAAGGAAGTGCGGCCGCCACCCGCGCGCGGAAAGTTCAGCATGCAGGAAGTTTGGGGAGAGCTCGGCGACTAGCACGGCGGGGCGGGCCGGGCTAGCGCAGGGCGAGCGTGGGGGCCAGAGCGCGGCGTGGTCCTGGGAGCCTGTCCCGGCTTTTTCTTGGAGCGACGCTGTCCCTAGGTCGCTGATCCCAATGCACCGGCTCATCCTTGTCTACACGCTAGTCTGCTCAAACTTTTGCAGCTATCGGGACACTTCTGCAACTCCGCAGAGTGCATCCATCAAAGCTTTGCGCAACGCCAACCTCAGGCGAGATGGTAAGAGACTCAGATTTTATTTTTTTAAATTAAGTAATCACGTTTTTTGTTGTCATCATTGTTGTCCCACACCCTTTTTCAGTCTTTCATACGAACCTTGGTTGTGTGTATGGGCGGGTGGGGGGGGGGAGGGGGAAGAGGGGTCGGGTCCTGTCTCCAGTCCCGAGAGAGCCCCTTCTTCCGGAATGGGCAGAGGGGTGTGGGACCCGTGCCTGAGGGGATCAGATAGGTCAGGTGGCTCATCTCCCTGATCCTAGAGAAGTCATTTTGGTGTCCAACAGTCAACTGATGCTAGGATCCCAGAGTTGAAGAAAGTTGCAGGCTGCCCCGCACCATGGTCAGGCTCTTCACCTTTTGGACTGGAAACACGGATAGCTGGGGCATTTGTGATAGGTGGAGGGACTCAAGAGTGTCTTTCTCTGGGTGATTTATTTTTATTTTTCTTAAGTGTGGGGAGAGGGAATGATTCATTTCAGAGGAAATGATAGCTGGAACAGAGAACTTATTTATGTATTATTTATGTTGAGGAGACTGTGGTGTGCATACTGCGGTGTGCAGTATGTTGCCCTTTTCATCCCCAGAGTGATTTTTTCCAGTGGACTTCAGCATGGCTCAGAAACTCAGTCTGGGAGAAAATGCCTTTTGGAGTTTTATCTGTATCCCAGCGGGACCTGGCTTCTGCTATTAGTTGTCTTGCATAGAATTCTTTCCAACTGTTTGCAAGAAGCAAAGATCTTTAAACAGCTCTTAAGCAAGGTCCCAAGCAGACTTGTTTGTTTTCCTTTACTGTGGAGGACACCTGGGTCATTGGATCCCAGCGATTTTAATTGCGTTTATTTACTTTCTGGGCCTCCACCAAGGTCTGAAGTTGATTTATTCCTGAATTCTCAAGTACAGCTGATGTTGCCAATAATTTGCAGCTGTTTCCACCATCTACCTGAACTGACCCATAGGTTTTTGTGTTTTTTTTTTTTTTTCCCCTTCATCAAAAATATCTTTCTTTCCTTCTGCTTGCTTAAAGATCTAACAGATCTCCTAAGGAGATCACCAAGCTATTCTTAATGGCTTCACTCTTGGAGCTGGCAACATTTGACCTCTGGTAAATTCATATTAGCCTTCTTATTTTCTTATCAGTTTCTCTCTTGGTATGTCCTTAATTTGGACATCACTGAAAGGCTTCTGTGCTTTGAAACAAACAAACAAAAACCTTATTATATTTTCTGATGGCAAGTATGCTGTGTATTTCAGTGTGCTAAAGTCATCTGAAGTGGAGGGGGTACAGGGGAGGCACAGAGTAACCTCCAGGCAGAAGGTCACCCTGTATTTATAGAATTACCTTATCACAGTATTTTGTGTAAAATATGCTAGCAGTGCATTTTTGATAATGCTTCATCTTAGTGTAAGTACAAGATTTTATTAATTAAAAAAAAAAGGTTTAGGCTCAAGACTAAACTTTTATAGCTTTGTTTCACTCGTTAATGTTTCTACCAGGGACAATCTTCTACTCATTGAGTTTTTAGAGTTGTTAATGTTTGCACTTAATGTGCCCTTTCAGCTACATAGAGTAAAATGCCATTTATAATTTGCATGACTTCATAGCCATAATTTTGTAATCCTTAGCTTCCCAAGTATGAGTTACAAGAAATCAAGGACAGAAAATGAAAAATATGTAACCATTGCCCATTAACCCAAGATTCTGACTAAAACCGAGTCACGCAGCTCATATCTCTGTTTTTTGGAAAAGAATAATCTCATTTTACTTTTTGCTGTTAAAACTCTGTACATCTATCTAGTCTATATGAGAAGTGCTAATACTTTATTTTATTAAAATTTGAAAACTACCCTGGATTTATTTCTTCATATTTTAGCTAGAGCTGTTTTGCAGTTACAGCACACATACACACACACACTTTGATTAGTTCAGATTGCTCAGTACTTAACTCAGTGTCAATCTCATTTATAAATAAGGCTAGGAAACGGGGAAAGGTAGTTGGATTAAAAGAGTAAAAATAATTAACACTCATAATGAACTTTTAGTTGGGGGAATTTTCAAAAGGCAGCTTATTCTTGTTATAGAGAGACATTCTCAAAAAAAAGGTAATATTGCCCCAAAGGAAAGCAGTTGGATCTTAGGAGGTGAAAAAAAGTCTTAGAAATTACAATGGTTTGTGGTCCTCCAAAGGGTCAGTACATATAAACAGATATACAGTACATTTGTAGTATTAGCAGTTCATAGGGAGCAGACGTGATTAGAAAAAAAAGAATGTCTAAAAAGGCTTCTTAACCAGGGGAGTGACGATATGAAGAAAAGGTTGAGAAACACTGTTTTAGAGTTTTGGTGAGAGAGTAAGAATAAAGGGTCTTTGAAAAAGTTTAGACATCCACTGGGAAATTTTAATGGCAACAATTGAGCTGATGAGAGAAAGTAATAACTTATTAAATTAAACCCTTGTTCTGATTCCAGACATTTTAAACTTGCTCTCTCAAAGTTCCTTAATAGCTCAATAAAGGGGACAATACTCTTGATCCGATTAAGACAGGGTATAAGTTTGCGGAGGACATAAACAGAGAATACAATAAGGGGAAGATAGAAGATAAAAGTTTCCAAACATTAATTTAGGGTCCTCAGAAGACCTGGCCCTCAGATTACAAATTGTAGGAAATCTAACAAAAGATTAGATATGGCCCTTACTAGGGGTTTCAAAACCATTATCTAATGATGGAACTGTCTTTACACCTGAGGGCCATTGTTTTGTCTCTGCTGACCCTGTTAGCTGCTACCTAAGTTGGGGTTAAGAAAGGAAGAATGATGACAGGCGTCCCCTGTTCTTGGCATGAGGTATGTTGGATCCTATCCAGCCTGATACAGAATCTTGTTTTTTGGTCTCCCAGTACCTAATAGCTCCAGGTAACTGAAGTAGTTAAGAAATGAATTGGAGATAACGTGTGAAGGCTGGTAAATGATAGTCTCCTTCTACCCAGTGTAGGAGGCTGCTCTGTTGCAGTCTCCTGGCCTTTCAGAAATCTTCATCACATTATGTTCTTGTTCTAAAAGGAATGTCTGTAGAGCCCTTGCCAGCACTTGCAGAATGACAAAAGGTGACCCAAGGAAGAGGGTGGTTGAATTTGGTCCCTGTCTCCAGGAGGAAACTAATAAGTTCTATAGCTAAGAAGAATTAAAATATAACAGTTTTCAGTGCTTGAGTATTTATGCTTCCTTATATCATATTTGTTATTCTTTCTCAAACTGATTTACTTTTGAAACCCATTCCTGATCCAACTCTTAGCACAGAGAAAATCTTCCTTTAGCAATAGCATCTACATATTTTTATTTTAGTGCCTGTGCAGTTGGTGCTTTTGTTATAATAACTGGCCACAACTGGTGTTTCTCAGAGTGTGAATCAAGAAGTGTGAAGATAGCAATTAACTGACAGTATTGCTTACTTATTTTTAAATCTAACTAGATAGAATTTCCTGCTTATGGAGTTAAGATTACAGATGCACTCTTCATTTTCTTGACCCTTTTTTGCTTTCAGAAAGTACAGGTATTGGTGGTAAATGATTCTGAATATAGTTCTGTTTGGTTGTTTAGTATGCCAGGACTTGAATTGCCTATTGTCTATTATCATTATCTTGTGATTGGCCTGCAATTTTAGTAATTGTGGTCTGAGATTCTTTTTTAAGTGGTCAAGCTTATTTCTTAAATAACATCAGTTTCTATTGTCCTCATTGATGACAGCACACCGACTTTGGTGCAAAGATCAGAGCTTAAAGGAAAGGCAAAAAAAAAACAGAGGGTAATTTAAACAAATTAGTTTTAAAGTGTCTGAAAGCTAAGAATCACATTAGTGTCTAAATCTGAGGTTCTTCTGTATTTATATTTTTCTGTTCAACTCTAAGTGTATTAAGGCTACAGAGCGTAATGGAGATTACATATTTTAAATGCAACATGGCTTTGACTTGCCACCATAGGTTATATTACTCAATAGAGGTTCTTTTAAAGAGGTGAGTTTAGCCAGATATCTCCACAGTGTATAGTGGAAGATGCCGTAAGGTTGTGAGTTATATTAATAAACATTGTGTGTTCATTGAATGACAGTGATTTTTTAATACAGGATTTTTCCCTTTCAGCAAATGAAAGCAAACCTTTATTATTTTAGTACCATAGGGTCAAACAATGGAGCAATGTCCCCAGAGCCACTTACATGGGACTCCTGATCATATGTGGTCTCAGAGAATCCCATCATTCTGAGAGTCTGGAGGATATAGACATTTATGTCTCTGTCCTTGAGAGCTGAGTCGTGATGCAAATCATCTTCCTTCTGGAACTTACGAACTTTCTTTGCTGAAATGATATGATTATTGTAAAAAGGCACTAGCTGAACATTTTAATAAAATTCTTCCTGTATTAAAATAGGAGCCTAGTTCAAAATTTCTAAATTTAAAGTGCCCAGTGCCTGGATATCACTGAGGTCCCCTCACCCTGGAAGCCCCTCTGCAGCACAGCATGCCAGATATTGGATTTTATTAACTGGATCTGAGGTCTCATTAGGGTAATGTAAATCACAAAGGTAACCTGGTTAGTGTTTGGCAACATTTTAAGTTATTTCAAACTTTTACATTTCTGAATTTATGCAATTTTAAAAGGGACATTTTTATATAACTTTTACGTGAAGGACAGTTTCAGCAAAAAGCTACAGGGGGATGATATACAGTAGCAAAAGGAAAGAATACAAGACATGCTGCAGCAAAAATGTTCTGACTCCCCATATAGTATTTTAGGACCAAATGTAAGTCCTAAATAAAGGAATAAGCCCGTGAGACACTAAAGTGCAAAAGTGCACAGACAGGAAGAAATATTTTCTTCCAAGAATTTTTTTTTCAGAATAAGAATGAAGCATGCCTTGTTTCTTACAAGCATTGATGATGAATATAGTAATATATCTTTGCTCTTCACCCTGATATGCTGACATTCATTTATTAGCTTTAATTTTTATAGA